CTTTGATTATGTAGACTGGGGATCAGCAACCCCCAGCACAGGTGCCAGAGCATGGCTTGCAAGGCCATTTTCTTAAGCATGCCACAGTTGACCCAGACTCTGGGCAGCTTCTGCCCAGAGTCTGGGCAGAAAAGAACAGCTGGCAGAAAAGAACAGACATTCATTTTGGGAGAGTGACACTCCTAGGCTTACTTATAAAAAATAAGGACATTAATGTGCTATTTTTATTGTTATATCCTTTTATTGCCAGCAACAAGAAGAAAAAGGAGAAATTTACCAGCATATAATTTAAGAAGAATTTTTAGGTATTTCATCATGTATTTAGGAAATAAAATCTTCATATTCCCACAAATGTCTCGGAACAAACTGTAGTACGGTTGGTGGTCCAGGACATAAGTGAGAAGCAAGGTCTGTTTGCTGATATCTTTTATTGGACCAACTATATAGTTGGGAGAGATGCTAGACAAACCTTTTGGCACAAAGTGTCCTTCAGATCTGGAGAAGAAGCAAGTGCAACCTGAGATAAATGCCAGTGTGTTCAAAAACAGATACAGCTGAAAAAGACCGTGTTTATCATATAGAACACAGTGAGATGCAACTTCTTATTCTTTCTCTCAAGGTCAAGAAAACAAGAAGAATATGGGTGAAAATGACCATTTCTTAATGCTGCTTCTACTTTGATTTATTTTTGGGTAGTCTGTGGTAGTGTGGAGGTGCCATAGCAGTTGGTCAAGGCGTTGACCAGAGCTCCAGCACCATGAATTCAAACCTTACTCCAGACTTGTAGCGACCACCAGGCTCAGTAAACACAGGCATCTGTGAATGAGAAGAACCAAGCAATGAACTTCATTATGGAGCAGTAGGCAACCTCTGCAGACCCTTGGTCTCTCTTTCACTAATTAGCAGCTATAACCTGAAGGACCATCTCCCAATTCCCAACTCTTCTAAATCAGGGAGTTTCTCTAAATTATAAAGTTTATTGCTACATTTTCTGTCTTAATAAATACAAAATCAACACAAAAATCAATGTTTGTGTTACACACGAAAAGTTACTAACATGTCACCCCAGACATGTTACAAATGGCACTCTGGACATGTTACAAATGGAATGTACTTTCCTATTCCACCTTTTCTGCAATTATTTTAACAAATCCCAGTGAGTCTTTCAGAAGGTTTCATTTTCTTCCAAGACTGATGAAGTATCAGATCCAGTTTCTGCTTTGTTTTTGGTGGGAAGCTTTTCCTCCAAGTCTTAATAGACTTAAAGTTTTTACTGGGATCCCATTGTTTTTGGTGGGAAGCTTTTCCTCCAAGTCTTAATAGACTTGAAGTTTTTACTGGGATCCACACATAGCACAAAGTTCATTAGCTATAGACTGCTGAGACTGATTACCTCTTTCTGTTGGATAGTATTTGCATTTGTGTCCATAGGTACATTTCTTCCCATAAGGACAGGGTTGCTTCTTGTGTTCTCCAACACTTGGCTTCTTCCTGAGAAAACTGTCCAGATTTTGGCTGTGACAGCCAAGAGGACTGTCAGGAGGCATGTATGTTGAGTCTTCTTGTACTGCAAGCACAAGTTTAATGAGATTAAAGTTTTTCACAAGATGGTGAAATCTTGGTGACACCAAAACTGGTGTAATGTCCCTAGATACCTTAAAGAATGGGAATTTGTATACTCACATTTTATATTGGATGCTAGCAATGTATTTCCCTTTCACTGGTAATGGACTGCTAGGCTTTGCCTGCTTCTGAATAGCCAGTTATTTTGATGTTTATTGAACTTGCTTTTGCTTTCAATTTTAATTTTCTGTGTTCATGCTCTGATAAGATATTAACCTGAGTTGTAGTTTTCATTTTAAATGAAACTCTTGTTCCTTGCATTTACACTGGCAAAATCTAGTTCCTCTCATTGATCTTGCTTGATTCTACTTTATCTATATAAAATTCCTCTGGTATGCTGCCAACAATATGAACTTTACTGTAGAGAAGTAGGCAACCTATGCAGACCCTTGGTTTCTCTTGCTTTTTCTCACTAACTGAAAGACCATTCCGTAATCCCAAACTCTTCTAAATTAGGGAGTTTCTCTACATTATAGCTTTTATCACTACAAGATTCACAGTAAAGGCTGCTTTCAGTTAACTCATCTGTAAAATGGGTGCATAGGGCTTTCAGGTGGGTACTCAGACATGATACTTTTTTCATACTTCTCCTTTGTGTGCTGCTGCCAACAGAAGCTGATGTACTTTAATGGTGCTAACCCAATGGGCTGCTAGGGTTTGCCTGTTTTTTTCTTTTTCTTTTCCTTTTTTGTGGTGTTCATGGAATGGAAAACATCAAGTGCAATGAGTGCTATTGCAAAGAGGTTCAGAGGCTTAACTAGCAGGATACACCAAAATTTTTTTTAAATTTCATTTGAAATCGACACCAGCCATGCTTTCTCGGTGGCCCCACTTTACATCATGGTGCCAACTGAATGCCACAGAAGTTAAGAACAAATAGGTGACAATAACTAACCTTTTGATAGCATGTGGTATAGTTTTGTTCCTGTATTTTTCTTTTCCCACCACGTTTCACAATGCCACAGGCTTCTTCATGAAATCTGACAGTGACAGGAAAGGGAAAGATTTTAAGAAAAAAGAAATATCATTTCCTAGTATCACCTGTGTGATATGTAGCCATTGTTCTTTTCGTTTTATTGACTGACATTTAATATTATTTAGGAATCTCTCTCTCATCCCTCTTCTTCCTGAAGACAGTTTCCCCAGACAAAAAGCCTCTAGTGTTTGCTTTTATAATGAAACTTTATTCATATTTTTATCAATTGTATTTTTTAATAACCCAGATATAATGGTGAGGGATCCAATATAAAATCCTATAATAAAATAAAGAAGCAAAATTATATAGGAGAAACTAATGTATACTATTGTTTGTGTGATCAGGTTGGCATATTTTGAAAGGGTAAAACACTCTGCCGTACTTAGTTTTTCTCATGAAACTGGAATAGGAATAACTAAATCAGGTTTAACTTATCTGTGCTTACATTGGTCAATGCTACAGGTGGACACTTCTTTTGTCATAAAACGTCATATTTCAATAGAACTTGAGTTGATGCTGCACTCTGGTGCCCAGACTCTTTGTGGCACTTTCAGTCCCAAAGCAGGAGACCCTGAGATTTGAAGTACTGCAAAACACATAGGAATGTTCAACATTTCAAAGAAACATTTGCTAGGTGTCAGCACACATGCACTTGGGCTGAGGGTTCAGTGTTTAAAGTATAAGTATTATTTCTCTCTTTCTTCCTTGCACCTACAGGCCAACCCATACGGCTTATTGCGGTATAAACACATAGTAAACCCCTACCTCAAACCACATATGAAAGGGGTTTCAGACCATTCTAGATCCCAGAATGCCACTGTTCCATTTGTAACGCTTCACCACAGATTGGCTCTAACGGCTTTGTCAAACTTGCAGTTTTGTAGGCTTCTCCTGCAAATCGTAATTTCATCCAAGCTATGTGGATCTTCATGTACTACAGTACAGACAGCAATTTTCTGCTACACATTTTGGTAATAATATTATGTAATGTTTAATTATATCAAAGGCTATTTTATTCCTAGTTAAAAGAGTGTTCTCTGAGTATATCTTATCCATTATTAAATCACAGCATTACCTCTTTCTGTAAGTAATATTAAGCACCCTGTTGACTTCAAACTCTCTGTAAATGTATACAACCCACTGCATTTGTCCAGTGAATATTATGGAAGTTTTAACTTAAGTTCCGTGTTGAAAAGCAGTAAAGGAAAACCTACTGGCCCTTCCTATTTTGAGTCAAAATATAAGAGCTCTGAAAACAGATTAAAAGCAGGCTATTTCTGATTATTTCTTTTCTAATATTGAGCTGAAATTAGGATGTAGCATGGTCCCTTCTTCTTTTACTGATGATTTGTTATATTTAAAGTGCCTTCTTGCAAAACATTCCCTAAGGCATGCCAGGTATATAGTGCAATGTGCCAAATAAAAGGAATATTTTTCTGTTGGTGTAGAAAACAGAGGCATAAAAATATGAATACCCTAGGAAATTCATTATGACAGAGTTCGCTGTGACTTCCACTGTTCAGAGAAATGGGATTAGACTTTGTTAAAGAATATTTGACTCCCAAATAAATTTTGAGTGCTTTGATGTCACACAGAATATCAAGACAAAAAGGATTTCTAAAGGGATCAAATAAAATACAACTGGATTGTCAAGATTCAAACAGCGAAAGAACAAAATGTTTTTAAGATCAGGTTTATAACCTGTTTCTAGCTTTTACCATGAAAGAATTCTAGGGTTCAGAAACAATGTGTTGTAAATTCTTCAGCCAATTAGCTCAGTGAGTTACTACTGTTTATAATGCACAGAATGTGGAAGGCTGTTTTGCAGTTGCACCAAGCTGGATTGTTAATAACAGGAAGCTAGCACTTCTTAGTACAGTGGATCAGCTACATGTGAAAATAAATGTAAAAAACCTGGAGGGGAATGGCTGCAGACTGAGATTAGCCTTTATTTAATTTAACATTTGGGGGTCTAGCACACAAATGAGCATTTTAGTAGGCTTCATGGTGGAAGTTGCTGTCATTTGTAAAATATTCTGGCCAATTAGCTAATAGTGTGCTTGGATTTCTCCTGTTTTGATACAGTAATACTAAGTACATTGTGAAGCCCAATTATACAAATCATCCCCATATGCCATACCAGTCTTTCTTTATGAACTGTGTTTATAAATCCTGTGTGAGGAAATGTGTACTTCAGCAATTTAGACCATGTGTAAAAACATAGCCAATAGGATTGTCAAGAAAACAAGTTCCAGCATAGGAAATCTTAATGTGTTCCGCTACAATAACGTGAGTGTGTCGTGTTGTGTGAGTTTTCTGATTAAATGCATATTACTTTATAGTGTTTAACCTATTTAGGTGCTTCCGTTTCCCTGTTCGTTCTTTCTTTTTTTCTTTTTAGGATCCCACTTTGGAGTTTTTGAGAAAATTTGGAATCGGGCTAGTTTCAGGAACAATTGCCTCAATTATTAATATCCCTTTTGATGTTGCAAAAAGTAGGATTCAAGGGCCACAACCCGTTCCTGGAGAGACCAAGTACAGAACCTGTTTTAAAACTATGGCAACAGTCTATAAAGAAGAAGGGTAAAACATTCTTATTTTAAATCATAGTCAGGCCTTTGTTTTAGTTCATACAGATCCATAAAATCATGTTGTTATATGTCAGATCTGTTGAGGGCCATAAAGCCTCCCTGAACTCATGTAGCAAGAACATGCAATGTAATATTTCAAGGTGTATTTTAAAATGACCAAAAAACCTATTCCTACTTAATCTGACCTTTTTTAATATCTGGAAGTTTATGATGATGTGTTGTTAAAATGTATGTTCTACAAACAAATGCCCAATATATCCCAAATACAACATTTATGCTTGGTAACATTAAAATTAACCCTTCATTCTACAGATACAAAATATGAGTAGAAAAATAGCATATTTCTAAGTTAAACTCTCTATTTGTAACTTATGCAGGTTTCTATGCATTGAGAATGATTGTTGAAATGAGTGAATTGGACACAGAACTTTGTGGCAATAACTTTTCTCCAACTTTTAAATATTTCTCAAGTGAGGATTGAGTTGTAGCTTTGATACTCAATTATAGCAGTCATTTTGTTCATGTAATGCAGCTGTTGTTAGCAGACTTGTCTTGAAAGTAAAACCATCTCACTGATTAAAGTCCTGTTTCTGATTGGATGGGATCAGACCATAGCTTTTGTAACTCAGTGTTAGCTTCTCCTCATGTGATTTGCTTCCATAAAATGTTAATATGGAGATACAGGCAATTATTTGAAATTATACATGTTCCAGTAAGTGCTAAGCCAGCATCTTACAAAGCAGATGCTAACATTCTATTCACTTTTTAAAGCAGAAATGTTGTTTCAAACCTTTTTTATTATTTTTATTTCTAATACAGATTTCTGGCTTTGTACAAAGGGTTGGTTCCCAAGATCATGAGGCTTGGCCCAGGTAATGTTTCTTCTATGAATCCTGTGTTTTTATTTCATCATAAACCCTAATTACCTATAAAACAAATGAAATACTGTTAAAAAGCCACAAAATCTCTCCCTTAATCTTTGAATTATTAATTTATTTTAATGAATATTTTAAATGTATTAAGATATATATGCCTACAAAAGAATATGCAAGCATGTACAACCTTGGGAATTGCTGAGGGATGTAATGATCTAATTTGTGAACAAATTGGGTAGGGAAAGTATGCAAATAGTTGTGCCAGAAAAACTTCCAGGCACCATTTAAACATTTTTAAAAGCTGTGTTTCATGTAATATTTAGAGCCCAATTCACTAAAACTATTGTGGCACTGTTGGTGCCTGCCACTTCAAGGGCTGAGCCAAGCAGCCGGCAGGTGCTTGATTGCAGTGTCCATTTTAGATCTCTGGCTGCCTCTATAAACAGAGCAGTTCGCTGCTGGCAGGCCAGGCAGAAACATCACCTGGCTGCAAGGCTGTATGCAGCATCCTGGAGGTAAGGGCAGGAGCTTAAGGGGATGGTTTGGAGGCTCTGGGTCCTGGGCATGACCTAAAACTGCACCCTGCCAGGAGTGGGTGGCCTGGTGGGGCTCTCAGTGGCGCACGAGTCCCCAGGAAATACCAGGCTAGTTACCACCCCGGTGAAAGGTGGGTTGGGGTGCCTTAATAACCCTAGCTCCCACAACTGGGTGGGTTATACCATAGTAGGGTCAAGAAGGCAGACCCAGGGTAGAGAGTGGGCTAGAGGTTCAGAGGCCTGACTCGAAACACCCTCGACTAGTCAATGCTGGGGCCAGGACCAGAAAGTTCAAAAGGGCCAGGGGTGCGCTGCGAGGGATGCCCAGAGCTGAGGGCCTGGGGTTTCCAGCTGGTCTTGGAGGTGAGGCCAGGGCCTGTGTGGCACCCACGCCCAAGAGGAGGAAGAGCTCAGGGAGCTAGGCAGCCCACAATAAGGGAAGAGTAGGCTGCCTGATTGGAGGGATCTGGTTGGGGTCTGGACTGAAGGATTCTGGGGCCCAGTGTGGGGCTGGTGATAGTGTAATAACTGTGGGTGCCATCTGTGAGGCTTGGGCAGCAGTGTAGGGGAGGAATGGAGCCACAGATAGTGCCCCCTGGCATTGGGGCAAGAATGGGCAGCCTCCCACCTAATTAACAACATAATTATGTATCATCAAGACAAGGAGGCAGGCAGCTGGCCCAGAAACAGGTGGGCAGGCCAGTGGTAGACTGGCCCTGAGACAGACCCCATTACAATACTAAAATGGTCACCACAATCAAACACTTACTGGCTGTTTGGCTCAACCTATAAAGTGGCAGGCACCAGTGCCCTGTCACACACCTCCCCCCACTTAAACTCACATCACCCCTCAGTAACCTGGGCTTCCAGCCCTCTATTAATATACCAGCCACTGGCCCCTTTCTGGGCAATTGGCTCTTGTGCTTACACAGCCGGGGCTGGCCCTTGCACTGGCCTTCAGGCTTATTCACAGTTCGGGCCTTCTCAGTGCACTCCTGGGACTGCCCTTCTACTGTCCCTACTAGACTCCATAACTCTGGGCTCCACGCCCTATTCTCTATCAGGGTCTCAAACCCTACCACTATAGGGGGAAGGTAGCGCTGTGCTCAGCTGTCAGGCTGATGTTTCCTAGACAATGCACCAATGTAACGGGGCATTCTCAGGGCCAGTCTACCATTGTCCCGCCCACCTGTTTTTATGCCAACCACCCGCCTCCTCCTGCCACACCTTAATGATACATAATTAGGTTGTTAATTAGGTGAGAGGCTGCCTATTTTTGCCCCAATGCCAGGGGGCACTATCTGCAGCTCTGTACCTCCCCTACACCACAGGGTAAGCCTCCCAGTTGGCATCCACAGTTCTTAACCTCACCAGCCCCACACTGGGCCCCAAGAATCCTCCAATCCAGATCCCAAACAGATCCCTCCAATCAGGCAGCCTACTCTGTTCTCATTTTGGGCTGCCTAACTCCCTGAACTCTTCCCCCTCTCAGGCGTGGTCCCCCGGGACCTTTGGCCACACAGGCCCTGTTCTCACCTCCAAAGCCACTCATAAATCCCAGGCCCTCAATTCTGGGTGTCCCTCATGGAGGGCACCTGGCCCTTTTGACCCTTCTGGTCCTGACCCCAGCATTGACCAGTTGAGGGTGTTTTGATCCGGGCTTCTGAGCCTCTAGCTCATTCTCTAACCTGAGTCCTCCCTCTTGGCCCTACTATGGTTTAACCCACCCAGTTGTGGGAGCTGGGGTTATTAAGGTGCCCCAACCCACCTTTGACCAGGGTGGTAACTGGCCTGGTATTTCCTGGGGACTCATGCACCACTGAGAGCCCCACTAGGCCACCCACTCCTGGCAGAGTGCAGTTTTAGGTCATACCCAGGACCTGGAGCCTCCAAACCATCCCCTTAAGCCCCTGCCCTTACCTCCAGGATGTTGCATACAACCTTGAAGCTAGGCAATGTTTCTGTCTGGTCTGCCAGTAGGTAAACTGCTCTATTTATATAGGTGGCCAGAGATCTAAAATGGACACTGCAATCAAGCACCTGCTGGCTGCTTGGCTCAGCCCTTAAAGTGGCAGGCACCAACAGTGCCCTGCCACAACTATTTTATGCCTCTCTGGCATGAAAGGTGCCCTGAGTATAAATAGCCCCCTAAGGACACCCTGTGTACAGGGAATTCTCTCTGGCTGAAATAGGTCTAGCATTTTCTGAGGGGTAACTTGAGTCTGAGGGGTACCTTGAGTAACAAGGCATACTTTGAGTCTAAACAGGTTGAGAACCCCTGTTCTAGAATAATGGCTTAACCTTTGCCCTTCTACCCTACTCACTCTGGTCTCTGTCCCAAGTGGAAGAATTGAGCAACTGGAGCTAAATCATTTTTGATTTCCAGTCTTTTTTCCAGGCTGGTTTTGATTAGTCCTGGGCTGTGTTACTAGAGCTTTTTATCTGTATAGGGGGCACGTCTACATGAGACACTGAGTGCACAATGGCTGCAAAATACCGAGCAGTAGTGCATCACAATACAGACAGTGTTAATACACTACTGCACAGTATTATTAGGCTAGTGCATAATAGCATCACCTAAAAGACATTTGCCAGCACTGCTGTGTGGTAACTCCAGTTACTGCGCACTTATTTAGTACTTGCTCATACAAGGACTACACAAATATGTAGTAACAACTGCACAGTCACGTCTCGTATAGACGCATCCAGATGATGCAGAACAAATTGGAACCAAATCTTATGTCTGTGAAATGGTATTTCTAGGTGGAGTAGGTGGCTCAATAGGCAAGGGCACAACGATTTAAAAGCTAATAGGGACTCTGTTTCTTAATAGCAGCTGGTTGCTTACATATGGTATTTTGCATTATAGAATACCATGTGAATTTTTCCTGTCAATCTTTATGAAACCATTTACTTCTACTAAGACCTGGATTGTACCTAGCTTTTGCTCAGTTTCAAGAGCAGGGACACAAGAAAAACAGGCAGAACTCAAGAGCACAGACCTTTCTTCCTTCAATATAACTGGTTTATGGGAGGCAGAAAGAAGGCATATCCCTGTTTTCTCTGTACCAGCCAACTCAATTGATTTTGTAATAACAGAACCAATCCTATTGAGTACTCTGGACCTAGAACCGACAAAGCAGCTGGGCATATTCTTAACAACTTAATAGGCTCATATAAATTTTATTTTCAGTATGAAACAAAA